CTCACATTTCTCGTTCTATTCTTTTTTTACATTTATTGTCCTATAGGTGTGCTGGCAATGACTTTTCACTCTGGTGGTGTTTGCCTAACAAAGTTTTTTATTTTGCTTTGATTTTTTGAATGATAAATTTTTGGTTGGCTATTGAAGTCTAAGTGGACACTTTTTTTCTGTTGAATCTTTGGATTTATAATTTTTATCACATTTTGCAAAAATTTTGGCCGTTATTTCTTCAAATACCTTTTTTATACCCTCTCTACTCTCTGCTTCTTCTATGACTTCAGTTATAAGCATGTTAGACTTAACATTATCCCACAGGTCCTAAAATTCCTCTATTGGCTTTTTTCCCCAGTTTGATTTTTTCTTCTGTACTTTGATTTGGATGGTTTCTATTTCTTTTTGTGTGTGTGATTAGAGACAGGGTCTCCCTATGTTGCCCAGGTTGGTTTTGAACTCCTCCCCTGAAGTGATCCTCCCACCTCAACCTCCCAAAGTGCTGGGATTACAGGTGTGAACCAGCATGCCCTGCCATAGATGCTTTTTATTTCTCTGTTGTTTAGTCCACTGATTGTTTTTCGGGAAGCATCTCATCTGCTGTTAATCTCATCCAATATATTTTGCTTTTCAGATATTTAGCTTTTTTTTATTTCTATAAGTTACATTTAGGTCTTTCTTATATCTTCATTTTCTCCCTTCATGTTTATGTCTGCATTTCATCTGGAATTATATTTATAATATTTATAATAGCTGCTTTAAGTCCTTGTCCGCTAATTCTATTATCTCTGTTATTTTTTAGTCCATTTCTATGGATTGATTTTTCTCCTGGTTATGAATCATATTTTTCTGCCCCTTTGTATGCCTGGTAATTTTTTTATTGGATGCTGGTCCTTGTGAAATGTAAATTGGTGATTGCTAGGTTTTATTATTTTTCTCTAAAGAGTCTTATACTTTGTTCTTGCATGCAGTTACTTGCAGATCAAGTTGCTCCTCTTAAAGCTTGTTTATGTGTTATTTTATTTTATTTTATTTTTTGTGAGATGGAGTCTCACTCTGTTGCCCAGGCTAGAGTGCAGTGACACGATTTCCACTCGCTGCAACCTCCGCCTCCCAGGTTCAAGCAATTCTCCTGCCTCAGCTTCCCAAGTAGCTGGAATTACAGGCACATGACACCACGCCCAGCTAATTTTTCTGTTTTTTTAGTAGAGACGGGGTTTCTCCATGTTGACCAGGATGGTCTCAAACTCCTGACCTCAGGTGATCCGCCTGCCTCAGCCTCTCAAAGTGCTGGGATTATAGGCGTGAGCCACTGTGCCCAGCCATTTTTGGTTTGTTTGTTTTGAGATGGCATCTCATTCTGTCTCCCAGGCTGGGGTGCAGTGGTGCGATCTCAGCTCACTGTAACCTCTGCCTCCTGGGTTTAAGTGATTTTCATGCCTCAGCCTCCCAAGTAGCTGGGATTACAGGTGTGCACCACCACACCTGGCTAATTTTTGTATATTTAGTAGAGACGGGCTTTCTCCATGTTGGCCAGGCTGGTCTTAAACTCCTGACCTCTCAGGTATGAGCCACCACACCCAGTCCTGTTTATTTGTTTTGTTAGAGTGGCGTCTTATCAGACTTTATGGCTCATATATAATTTAGCCCTACTACTATCAAATACTTTGCTTATCATGAGGTCTCTTGAGTCTGGCTAGTGGAAATGTGAACTACTCCTTTCCCTGTGTGACTTTGGGATTTGTTCATGTACTACTTTCTGGTAGTTCCTTTTCTAGCCTCCTGGAGTTTCATCCTTGTCATTACTCAGCCAGAGATTTGGGGTGCAGGTCATGTGTGCTCTGTCTTTGAGTGTGGAGCTTTGTCCTTTCCAGCACTCCGTTCTGCAGAGTTTTGCTGCTTGACCACCCTGAACTGTGATCTCTGTTTCAACAAAACTACTACTTTCTCTTTGGCTTCCTCTTACCTTCATTGCAGTCTGTAAACTGCCCTCATTTGAATACTTTCTCTCAGGGAAATACTTTTCTCTCATCTTCCTGAATTGCCTGTTGTCCAGGGCCTAAAAACCATTATCTTAACCATTTACTCTACGTATTACATTAATTTTTATATCTTCTTTTTTTTTCCAGAACAATATAGCTGAAGTACAAGAATTGCATTCTGAATTAATGTGGAAAGATTTTATAGACCACATCAGTAGTCTTCTACACAGTGTGGAAGTGGAAGTCAGTTACTTTGCAGCTGGAATTATTGCCCATTTAATATCCAGAGGTGAACAAGCTTGGACATTGAGTCGTAGCCAGAGGAATTCTCTGCTGGATGATTTGGTAGGGTCATTCGTGCCAACAAAAGACATTCATAGTGGTTAAACTATGAAAGCCTTATAATGTAGTAAATAATGCAGTGCTAAATAAATATTGTAATCCTTTCTTGTGTGTCTTTTGTCTTCCAGCATTCAGCTATTTTGAAATGGCCAACTCCAGAGTGCGAGATGGTAGCATACAGGTAATTAGTATCATAATTAACAGTAAACCAGTAACCTAGTCCAGAGATCATTCCTAAGAGTCATTCCTACTGGATGCATGTGTTTTCCCTCAGGCACCTCAGTATTGGTTGGTTATTTATTTATTTATTTTGAGACAGAGTTTCACTCCATCACCACAGCTGGAGTGCAGTGGCATGATCTTGGCTCACTGCAACCTCCACCTCCCATGTTCAAGCAATTCCCCTGCCTCAGCCTCCTGGGTAACTGGGATTACAGGCGCCCGTTGCCCCACCCAGCTGATTTTTGTATTTTTAGTAGGGATGAGGTTTCACCATGTTGGCCAGGCTGGTCTTGAACTCCTGACCTCAAGTGATCTGCCTGCCTGGGCCTCCCTAAGTGCTGGGATTACAGGCGTGAGCCACCACACCCAGCCAAAAGTATTGGCTTTAAGAGAAGCAAAGTATTTTGACTTTTTTCTACCACCTATCATACTTCATGTTTCCTTCATTTCACATTTATTGAAGACAAGTGCTAGGAATTTGTTCTGTGCTCTTGAAATTCAAAGATGAACAAAGACATGGTGGCTGCACACAAGAATTTTATATCCTTGTGAGGGAGATCAAATGTGGATCAGATAAAATACCGTTATGCTAGATGTCCATAGAATGTTATGAAATTAAAGGTGAAGCCGAGTGGGGTAGCACGTACCTGTAGTCCCAGTACTCAGGAAACTGAGGTGGGAGGATCACTTGAGCCCAGGAGTTTGAGGCTGCAGTGAGCTATGACTGCATCACTGCATTCCAGCCTGGGTGACAGAGCAAGACTCCAAATGTAAATACACACACACACACACACACACACACACACACACCCCTTTCAGAGGAAGTGAGTTGTGACCTGAGTGTTGAAAGATAAGGAGAGGCAGGAGATTTTTAGGAAGAAAAAGCATCATATTAATGCAGGAAGGTCTAAAATAAAATGACACATTGAAGGAATTAGAAGACGACCAGATTCTGGCCGGGTGTTGTGGCTTACGCCTGTAATCCCAGCACTTTGGGAGGCTGAGGTGGGTGGATCACTTCAGTCCAGGAGTTCAAGACCAGCTTGGCCAACATGTTGAAACCCCTGTCTCTAATGAAAAAACAAAGTTAGTGGAGCATGATGGTGCACACCTGTAATTCCAGCTACTTGGGAGGCTGAGGCATGAGGATCGCTTGAACTTGGGAGGTGGACGTTGCTATAAGCCAAGATGGTGCCCCTGCACTGCAGCCTGGGTGACAGAATGAGACTCTTAAAAAAAAAAAAAAAAAAAGGAATAACACCAGATTTGGTTGGGGAAACAGTTTGTAATAATTTATTAAAGTGCATACTGGGCCTGGCATGGTGGCTCACACCTGTAATCCCAACACTCTGAGAGACTGAGGTGGTAGTATCACTTGAGTTCAGGAGTTGGAGACTAGCCTAGGCATCATAATGAGACCTCATCTCTACTAAAAAATAAAAAGACCTGGGCATGATGGCATGCACCTGTAGTCCCACCACTTCGGAAGGCCAAGGCAGTTAGATCACTTGAGCTTAGGTGTTTGAGACCAGCCTGGACAACACAGTGAGACCCTGTCTCTACAAAAAATTAAAAATTAGCTAGTTGTGGTGGCACGTCCTTGTAGTCCAAGCTGCTTGGGAGGCTGAGGTGGGAGGATCGCTTGAGCCTGGTAGGTTCAGGCTGCAATGAGCTGAGATCGCTGTACTGCACTCCAGCCTGTGCAACAGAGCGAGACCCTGTCTCAAGTAAGTAACTAAATAAATAAATAAATGATAAAAATAAATAACAAAAATAAAGAAAGTGCATACTGGATGCCTCTTTGTAATTGGATAACTTGATAATTAAATTACTAATTACCTGAAGTATTTAATTTTTATTCAACTTATTTTTTTTGTTTGGTTCTTAAATGCTGATGTTGCCAACATTTTTTTACTTCCCCAACTTATGTTCTACCTTTGTTTTTGTTTTTGTTTTTGTTTTTTCTGAGACAGAGCCTCCCTCTGTAGCCCAGGCCGGAATGCAGTGGTGTGATTTCGGCTCCCTGCAAGCTTCGCCTCCTGGGTTCACGCCATTCTCCTGCCTCAGCCTTCCATGTAGCTGGGACTACAGGCGCCCGCCGCCGCTCCTGGCTAAGTTTTTTAGAGACAGGGTTTCACTGTGTTAGCCAGGATGGTCTCGATCTCCTACCTTCGTGATCTGCCCGCCTCAGCCTCCCAAAGTGCTGGGATTACAGGCGTGAGCCACCGTGCCCAGCACGTTCTACCTATTTTTATTCTGACCAGTAGAAAATAGAAGGGATAATTATACACCTTTTTCATAGTGTTCTACTAGTTAGTTATCACCTAATTTCTGTATTTCTTAGTTTCCAAACCAAGGACTACTTATCTTCAAATGTGTATCTTTAAGACTGAAAAGGTGCTTTAGGAAAAATTTTTTCTCTTTTAGTACCATATTCTAATCACCTTCCATCTTCTGTACTGAATCATGTCTGAATGCAGTCTTCTCTGAAATGGTTAAGACAAAGAAAAGATATTCTATAGCTCATTTATATTAGTCTAAATATAATAGGATAAAATGTTGAAAATGAAAAGTTTAGGAATCACGGCTTTAGGGAATTACACTAAGTATGGGATGTAACTTTGATTCTTTTCTTTTGAACCCTTAGGTCCTTTAATCCATTTTTCCCATTACTTGGATGTTTCACAACACCAGGAGTCCAGCTATGGGCAGTTTGGGCCATGCAGCATGTCTGCAGCAAGAATCGTATGTACCAAAAAAAGAGAGCTGTGTTTTTTTTCTTTAAGTGAAATTCTCATTTCCCAGGAAAAATATTTGTAAATTGTGTATTAAAGTGATTTTTAAGAACACTAACTTAAAGTATAAGGAAATCTTAGGTTATAAACTTAAGGTATTCTTTTTTTTTTGGAGACAAAGTCTCACTCTTGTTCCCAGGCTGGAGTGCAATGGTGCGATCTCGGCTCACTACAACCTCTGCCTCCTGGGTTCAAGCGATTCTCCTGCCTTAGCCTCCTGAGTAGCTGAGGTATCAGGCACCTGCCACCATGTCCCGCTAATTTTTTTTTTTTTTTTTTTTTTTTGAGGCGGAGTCTCGCTCTGTCGCCCAAACTGGAGTGCAGTGGCGCAATCTCGGTTCACTGCAAGCTCCGCATCCCGGGTTCATGCCATTCTCCTGCCTCAGCCTCCCAAGTAGCTGGGACTACAGGCGCCTACCACCACGCCTGGCTAATTTTTTGTATTTTTAGTAGAGACCGGGTTTCACTGTGTTAGCCAGGATGGTCTCGATCTGACCTCATGATCCGCCTGCCCCAGCCTCCCAGCGTGCTGGGATTATAGGCGTGAGCCACTGCGCCTGGCCTTTTTTTTTTTTTTTTTTTTTTTTTTTAAGTAGAGATGGAGTTTCACCATGTTGGCCAGGCTGGTCTCGAACTCCTGACCTCAGGTGATCCGCCCGCCTCGGCCTCCCAAAGTGCTGGGATTGCAGGTGTGAGCCACCATGCCCGGCCAACTTAAGATATTCTTTTAGAATGAGCATGGTGTAACTAGGCACTGAATGACAGTGGTGAATGAGACACAGTTCTCACCTCAAGGAATTTAAAGATAGGAGACTACAGTGAGTCCATTTGTTGAGTAAAAGGTCTTAAGTAGTTCCACTGTTTATGGTACATTCTAGTACCCAATTCTCATTCACCCAAAATTCTGTTGTTCAAGATGTCGCTCCCAGCACCCATGGTTTCTGAAGAAGCAAAGTGTTTGAATCAGGTTCTATATTATTCTTTCAAAGCTGCGATGCAACTCTTATTTATTTATTTAGAGACAGGGTCTCTCTCTTATCAAACTGGAGCTGGAGCGCAGTGGCATAGTAACAGCTCACCATAGCTTTGACGTCGGGGCTCAGATAATCCTCCCGCCTCAGCTTGTAGCTAGGACTACAAGTGCATGTCACCATACCTGCCTTTTTTGTGTGTGTGTGTAGAGACGGAGTTTCATCGTGTTGGCCAGGGTGGTCTCAAACTCCTATGCTCAAGCGATTCACCTGCCTCTTCCTCCCAAAGTGCTGGCATTACAGGCGTCAGCTGTCAAGCATGGCCTAGTTATTAATATAAACTCATTCCACAAATGATTTGACACAAGAAATACACAGAACCACTTTAATAGTAAAGTGTGTGTGTAAATTATAGAGAAAGGTGAATATCATTACTCTTTTCTTTGAGATTGTAGCGTCACATCTGTCCACCGGGAGAAAACAGAGAAGAGTGCGAGTGTGTAGACAAATCTCGCGCTACAACTGCACCCCTCACCACCTTACAACCAGAGTTCAAAAGCATTCTCCTGCCTATCTTAATCTCCAGAGTAGCTGACTACAGGCCTGCACCACCACAACCTGGCTCATTTTTTGTATTTGGTTTTAGTAGAGACGAGGTGTTAATCATCATCCATTTTGTACTGCGAAGTTTCTGAATACATCACTATTGAACACTACTGACTATCAGGTCTGACTGCTGCGACCTCCGGCCGGTAAACCAAAAGTGACATAGAGCTTAATAGGTTTATAGTCCACTGCAACTGCTATTATTTTCTATATTTATAAAATTACAGAGAGTAAAGGAAAAATAGTTTTTCAAAAATTACGGGGCCGGGCCACAATGGTTCATGCTAGATATATCCCCCAGCGTTTGGGGAAGTTGAGCGTGAAGTGGATCACTTTTGAAGCCTAGGATTTGAGACCAAGCCCTGGGACACATGGTGAAACCTAGTTTCTATAAAAGATTAAAAGAAGATTACCAGCGGTTGTGGTGTGCTCCTGGTAGTCCCCAGTGCTGTTTGCGGCGCAGGCGCTTGAGATGAAGCGCCATGATCTGAAGCCCCCCTGAGAAAGTTCAAGGCTGCATGAGCTATGTGGATAGGCAACCAGCACTTGCCAGCGTGCGAGAGATGTCGATGTACTCTGGTCTGCAAATAAGAAAAGATATAAAAAAAATTCTTAAGAAGAGGAAAATAGATCAATGGAGAAGAACTTGTGGAAGCCAATGCCATAGGGATGTTTTGTGGCTCTGCTGGCAAGTAAAAAGCGAGCCATGGGTTTCCTCCTATATATATGAGAGAAAATTGGCTTTGCGTACATATCCTTAGTCAGAGGAGATCCAAGTAGTGGGAGTAGGACACATAACTGTTTTTTTTATATTTTTTGTTTATATGAGACAGAGTCCTCGCTTCTGCCTCTAGTCCCTAGAGCAAGTTGTCAGTGGCGGGATCTGCGAGGCTCACTGCACAGCTCCGTCTCCCGGGCTTCACACATTACTTCCTGCCATCAGCCTCGCCGAGTAGCTGGACTACAGGCGCAACACCTCGGGCCCGGCTAGTAAATAAATATGTGTACATTAATATAGTAGAGACGAAAGGAGGGTGAGTTACACCAATGTCGAGGCCAGCGTGATTGAGAGATGCCACGATATCTCCACTACCTCATGGGTGACCACACTGTCTCGGCCTCCCAAAGTGCTGGGATTACAGGCTTGAGCCACCGCGCCCGGCCAGAGTAAACTTTTTATGAGCAGTTAACTACGAATTAAATTTCTTCTATTGGACATTAATACGGGACAAACTATAAAGGGTCTTATATAGGATATGTGAGAGTTGTTTTTACCGATATCCTTATAGCAGAAGTAGTAACATTTTGTGAGATTTTCTCTTGGGTTTTTTTTTTTTTGAGACAGAGTCTTGCTCTGTTGCCCAGGCTGGAGTACGGTGGCACGATCTCAGCTCACCACAACCTCCACCTCCCAGATTCAAGCAATTCTCCTGCTTCAGCCTCCCGAGTAGCTGGGACTACAGGCACGTGCCACCATGCCTGGCTAATTTTTATATTTTTAGTAGAGGCTAGGTTTCGCTATGTTGGCCAGGCTGGTCTCGAACTCGCCCGCCTTGGCCTCCCAAAGTGCTGGAATTACAGGCATGAACCACCGCGCCCGGCTCCTTCTCTTGTATTCTTTGATGAAAACTCACAGCATACCACAAAAAATCAATGCAGTAAAAGCTCTTCTGTGTCAGATAGAGAAGAGTAATTTGGTGAATGGGATGTGACCGAGAAAGCTGCCTTGTACGCACCTGAACTTCCACCTGGAGGCTTATCCGGCCCTTCCTCCTCAGTTACCCAGAAGCAGAGTTGTTCACTCATGAATCGAAAACTGCCTCTTTAGCTACATTAAACTGTCTCTCCCCTAAAGTCTTTTTCCTTTTACTGTACCCACAGGTTCTGAGGACTCCCGAGTTTCTTAACAGTTGATCCGATAATATTCCCAGTCTCTAATCTATAGGTTCCTTTCCCGATGACTCAAGGAATGGACCTTTCACAGTTCAGTAGGAGAAAATAAAACATAATTAATAAATAATAGTGCATTTTCGGCTGGGCGTGGTGGCTCACGCCTGTAATCCCAGCACTTTGGGAGGCCAAGGCGGGTGGATCACAAGGTCAGGAGATCGAGACCATCCTGGCTAACACGGTGAAACCCCATCTCTACTAAATATACAAAAAATTAGCTGGGTGTTGTGGCACACGTCTGTACTCTCAGCTACTTGGGAGGCTGAGGCAGGAGAATCACTTGAACCAGGAGGTGGAGGTTACAGTGAGCCGAGATCGCGCCACTGCACTCCAGCCTGGGCGACAGAGCGAGACTCTGTCTGGGGAAAAAAATAAATAAAAAATAATAATAATAATAGTTCATTTTCATACAAGTATTTATTTTTGTCAATACTTTTAGGTATTAGTGTTATTTTGATTTTACTCTATGGAATGACAGCCCTAAATAATTTCTTCTAAAATGCACTGTAATTTGGGGAATGTTAGAATATTTGGTCTCCAACTCAAGATATTTTAGGTTCCTACCTTGTGGGCTTATTTTGTTTATATTTAAATGGAATTCACTTCTATTTGTATTAAAATGTTTTAACGTGGCTGGGTGTGGTGGCTCACACCTGTAACCCCAGCACTTTGGGAGGCTGAGGCAGGCAGATCACTTAAGGTCAGGAGTTTGAGACCGGCCTGGCCAGCCTCGTAAAACCCCGCCTCTACCAAAAATACAAAAATTTAGCCAAGTGTGGTGGCTGCTGCCCACAGTCCCAGCTACCCAGGAGGCTGAGGAAAGAGAATTGCTTGAACCCGGGAGGCAAAGGTTGCAGTGAGCCAAAATTGTGCCATTGGACTCCAGCCTGGGCAACACAGCAAGCTGCAGTGAGCCATGATCACACCGCTGGGCATGAGCCACGATCACCCCAGCCTGGGTGACAGAATGAGACTGTCTTAAAAAAAATTAAAAAGGCAGAATATTTCAAAAATTAAAAAATTGTATGTGCAGTATGACTGCCATTAGGTTTTTAAAAAGCATAGGAAATGCAGCCTGGCACTGTGGGTCATGCCTTGTAATTCTGTTACTTTGGGAGGCTGAGGCGGGAGGATTGCTTGAGGGCAGAAGTTTGAGACCAGTTTACACAACATGGTAAAACCCCATCTTTACAAAGAATAAAAAAATTAGCCAGGGGTGGTGGCGTGTGCCTGTATTTCCAGCTACTCGGGAGGCTGAGGCACAAGAATTGCTTGAACCCCAGAGGTGGAGGCTGCAGTGAGTCGAGAGTGCGCCACTGTACTCGGGCCTGGGCAACAGAGCAAGACCATGTCTGAAATTAAAAAAAAAAAAAAAAAAAAAAAAAAAAAAAAAAGCATAGGAAATGCATAAAAATATAACAACACTTACCTGTGATTTTGGGTCAAAGATAAGGTAGTTAAGATTGTTTTTATTTTTTTTAATACAGATTGTGTATGTCTTGAGGTTAGAAAAAGCAAGCTAGCTATTTATTGATTGAATGTGTAGGCCTTGCACTGTAGACATAACTCAGTATAGAGGTTTTTATCAAGCTGTAACATGTTAGTGATCAATAACAAAACACCTTAAAAAAATGGCTCCTAGAAGTCATTTTTTTGTGGAATAATTTTAAGTGTTTTAAGAAAAGCTATTTCTCCTGTTTTGTGGTGTTTTTTTTTTTTTTTTCCAGCTTCAAGGTATTGCAGCATGCTGATTGAAGAAGGAGGACTGCAGCATTTATACAACATCAAAGATCATGAACATACTGATCCCCATGTCCAACAGATTGCTGTGGCCATTCTGGATAGCTTAGAAAAACACATTGTGCGCCATGGGAGGCCACCTCCCTGTAAAAAACAGCCCCAAGCCAGACTAAATTGATAGCCATAAGTATTGGATAATTGAATTACAGGAATCCTTTTTGTGATTGGTCCATTTGGAATATCTTACCCTCCGTGATGTTTTGGGGGTTTCTATGACCGGAGTCATAAAATCAGTTTGGGATTGGTAATGTATAGTACTGCCCATGTGAACAGTCCCTAATTTGTCTTGTGATTTTTAACTTATGAGTCAAGAAGGGTCTCTTCCTTTATCATTGCCTTTTAGGAAATTTTCCACATCTTTCAGTGTTTGAACTTACTTGTGCTTGAGATTCTACAGTTTTATGGTAAAGTTTGCACGAACCCTTAGGCCAGACTTTTCGAGTCCCTTCCAGTCAATTTGCAGCTTCACATAAGCTGTTGACCTGATTTCTGACACTGCTTCAGTTGTAAATTTTATACTGCTTCTGTATAAAATGGCTTTCTTCTCTATCTGTGTATCTTTTATAAGATGTCCTTCTTAGTGTGAAAGAAGGGAAATGTGGATCATCTTGTGGAAGCTAATCACTGGCAGGAGCCTGGATGGCTGGCGGAAAGATGTATGAGAAAGAAAAACTATGAAAGGAGAACAGAGTGTAGGAACTGGGAATTGCTTTCATGGTGTAGATTTTAAAATGAGACAGGCTACCCTTCAGGAGTCTATGTCTCTTGAGGCGGTGAGCAGAAGCTTGTTCTCCGTATTTATACCTAGAAGCGTGGACTGCTGCTTCCTGCACAGACTGCTGGTTATTCTCTAGGAATATTTCCCCAAGCACCACAGTATAAAATATTACAGCACTCTGTGTTAAAGACTGTCTACATCTCCCTATGTTGTATTGTTGTGAAAATGTGATTTTAAAAAATTATCACCAGTCAAAACTGGCTATTCTTTTCCTCTATTTCAAAATCATTTTTGTTCAGTGGAATAGAGACAACAACATGGTGTTAACCTCTCAGTTAAAATACAATTGACACCAGTAAATTTTGCCATGAAAAGTTAAAATCTCTTGTTCAAAATATGTCTGTCTTCTTAATGTGTTCATGTTGGAGAAAGTGTCCCCGTCTGCCAAAAATGAAAGAAAAGAATTAAACTCTTTAAGTGGTTAAATGTAATGACTCTACTCACAGTGCATAACAGCACATATTTTTGATGGATTATTTTTTAGACAATTACCTTTCCTTAAGGTATCTGATACAGTATAGTAAAGAATCACTTATATCAGTAATAGCACTTGGGAGATAGCAAGTCACCAAGAAACTTAATTTTCATTTAAAATTTTATTTTGTGAATAAGGTCAATCTACTACAATCGCAGATAACCACATTTTTTTTCATAGATGGCCAGTGTTTTCAATAGGTATTTAAAATGGAATATTTAAATTATAATGATTATTCAGAAGCATTTTAATTTAGAAAGGAGCTAGTTTGTTAGTTCACTGATGACATTTTTTGACAAACATTTTATACCATTATCACAATAATCAGACTTGAATTTTTTTTGAGTTTCTTCATGTGAATGAAAATTGAGTTAGAAGAAAGTAGGTATTTAGGTCCAAATGCAGTGGCTCATGCTTGTAATCCCAGCACTTTGGGAGGCTGAAGCAGGAGGATTGCTTGAGCCCAGAAGTTCAAGACCAGCCTGGGCAACATAGTGAGACTTGATCTCTACCTAAAAAAAAAAAATTTTTTTTTTTTTTAAATTAGCTGGGTGTGGTGGCGCCTGGGCAACAGAGCAAGACTCTGACTCAAAAAAGAAAGTAGATATTTAGAGTCACTGAAAACCATATTAAATACTGGGTTAATGCTGACTTAATTGGCTTAAGGAATTTTTATAGGTATAAGATAAATTTTCACAGACTAAGTTTATTTCAGACGAAATACAGAATTCTTTTAAAAGGTTTTTTTTTTCCTTTTCTGAATGTTAATGTCTAAGACAAAGTTAAGAAAATGAGATGGCCTGTGGTAGCTTAGAAATTGCTAGATATGTTGACCATTTCCAGGTCTTTTATCTAGTGTAGTTAAGGGAAAGCCTGTTTAAGAAGTTTGGCTTCAAGTTTCTGTTCTATGCTGTTAAAAGACAAAAGTGCATATTTCTTTACAGGCTAATGCTAGGTTTTTGTCTCTACAAACTTTTTTTCAGAAATGGCTAAAAGTGTACAGAAAACAGTAAATCTCTTCTTTACTCAGAATAACTTCTTAATAGATGAAGCATCCAAAATATTTAAAAGCAAGGGTGGGCGTAGTGGCTCTTGCCTGTAATCCCAGCATTTTGGGAGGCCAAGGCGGGTGGATCACTTGAGATCAGGAGTTCGAGACCAGCCTGGCCAACGTGGTGAAACCCTGTCTCTGTTAAAAACACAAAAATTAGCTGGGCGTGGTGGCTTTGTGTGCCTATAGTCCCAGCTACTCAGGAGGCTGAGGCACGAGAATCACTTGAACCCAGGAGGTGGAGGTTGCAGTGAGCTAAGATTTTAAGAGACTAAGATTTTAGGAGCCTTTCCTACTTTTTTTCTTTTCGTAGAGACAGAGTCTCACTCTGTCTGTCGCCTAGGCTGGAGTGCAGTGGCACGATCTTAGCTCACCGCAGCTTCTTGGGCTTATGTGATCCTACCTCCTCAGCCTCTGGAGTAGCTGGAACTACAGGCTAAATTTCCTACTTTGTAAACATCAGTAGTGGCCAGATATTTCTGAGTCTTAAAAGCAAAATAATTTCTTACATCCCAAATATATAAAAATTTGAGTGCCTTCGCAGTTGAGATGGTTCCTAAAATTGTGTATAGAATTAAGGCACAGAATTGTCTGTAAGGTCCTGAATCTGGCTAAAATACAGTGGATGTATATATTGGAATTATGAGGCATAAGTGGCCAGTATCTATAGTTAGAATCTACAAGGCCTCCCTTTTGCTCCTGTAGACCAGAATGTAACTGTTATTGGTGCCTTTGAGTGTTATCTCTCAGTGGCTTAGAGGTGCTATTTCAAGCACAATTTAGACTAGGGTTGAACCACTCATTGTTCAAATCATTGGTGGGCTCCAATGTAAAATATCACTACATCAGTCCACAAGTAACAGTAAGGAAATCTACTAAAGGAAATGGAATTTGACTTTTTAGAGTATAGTGATGTTCTAGGGCATAATGAGGAAAATTTTTAAAAAATAGATTATAATAATACATATTGGTATCATTGAGTAAAACAACAGATTTGAGCAAATACAATTAAGGCATTTTATTTTTTGCATCAAGTAATTATTGCTGTGGTCTTTCTACTCCACAAAATAATTTTTTCTTTTTGCAGTTGAAAATTAACTGCATTATTAACTAATTAATAAAATAAATCAAGTGGTATAAGGGATTAGTTTACCCTCAAGCCAATGACTCCGTGGCTACTGATCTTAGTTAGTTTAGGATTTTAAAAAATCATATCAGACCCCCAGTGTCAGAAATTGACTATAAATATTGCCTCTTGTCACCCCAGGATAGTAATGCCTTATAGTGGCACTAGTCACCTTAAGTAGATTACAAATGGTGGAGGTGAATAAAGCTGCATGGGAATTTGCTTTCATGATATGTTTCATTTGCAAACTTCCACATAGTCAGGTTTTATGTTTAAAACCATCAGTTCTATATATCTAGCTTTAAGAAGTTGCCCTTACAGGTGGAACCTTTTGTGTTAACCTGTTTTCTCCCCAGTCATCTTATTTGGCTGTGTTAAAAAAATAAATAGAGAGATGGTGTCTCACTGTGTTGCCCAGGCTGGTCTTGAACTCCTGGCCTCAAGTGATTTTCCCACCTCAGCTTCCCAAAGTGCTGGGATTACAGGCATGAGCCATGGCGCCTGGTCTTAGCTGTGTTTTTAATTATGCCATGCATCAACATAACATCGGGCCATCTTCCTATCCCTTTTGAGCACATTTTAGTGAAAACATATTTTATGTGCTAAATTAGGTTAATTTACCGGAGATTTAGCTTAGTGTTTTTAAATGCATTACCCCCAAAGAACAATGTACAGCAGCACCCAGGGTTGAAAAGAGGTAGCAGGGAAAACAAACTTATACTCTTCGTACATGGTGAAACCCATCCCTCTCCTGCCCTCTAATGGTATGTTTACATTATTTGGTTATTATACAACGTTTATAGTGGTATAAACAGTATTATTAAACTGAAGGCATAAGTTAAAGGAAGTATGTTACTTTGAGCTGATGTAGGCTCTTCCACTTTTATCTGTATTTTACTTATTTGGGGACTTTGTATTGCTAGGGCTTCAGAATACTAACTTTGACACAGCTCCCAGAGAGGTTTGCAAACTTTTGGTTTCCCTTTCAAATCCATGGTAGCAGTTTCAGATGAGTTTGTGGATAATGGATGTTTAGTCCTTATCATTTGCTGTGTATTGGCAGTTTTTAATTTGCAGTATTCACTCACGAACTGTTTTATTTTGGAATAATGCAAAACCAACCTTTGTCCGGTGATGAGAATAGCCGTATGATAAGAAAATTTGCTCATTGTGCTTTAAATGAGTAATTGTTTTACCTTACTTAGTATTTCATACACTTTGCATGACATGGTACACTCCTAATTATGCATTCTTTGGTTTCCAAATCTTAACCTAAGATACTTTGTTAACTGACTGGTAGCCTAAGAAAGAGACTTTTCTTCCTGTTTTTCTCTCTCCCCGTTTTTTGGGGTACATTTTGCAAAGATCAGCGCTGCTTTTCATGACTCTAAAGCTCTTTTGGATAGCACAGTATAACTTTACAGCTAGACAGAATGGCTATTAAGAATATTTCCAGAATCCAAATTTGTCAAAATTATTTTGTGGGAAATCATAAATCTACTTGATTAATATTATGTGCTTAATTGTGGACTTATTTTGGGAAAAACTGTTCAAATTGGGTCCTTTTAAGCTTATTTTAAGCAGCCTGGAAGGAAGAAGCTACTTAGCTAATGAAAGCTGAGACACTTTAATAAAGCAGGATCTTAAGAGCATTGTTTTTCCTTAAAAACTTTATACTCTCAGATTATCTGCAACAATAAAAATTAAGAAATTCCTAACTTCTGTAGAATTCCCACTGTCAAATTCTCTCTGACTTATGAGTGTGAGAAAAGTTATCTTTTGTTTGAATTCTGATAGAACAGTTTAACTCCTTTCTAAGGATATAAAAAATTCATTGGAAAGTGTGTATATTTCAAAGACTCTCAATTATCTGGACTGAAGGCACTGTTTTCACTATGGCCAGATGAATGGGAGTATTCTGTACAATGAATCATGCTATATTTTAAATCAGGACATCACTTAATTATTAATGTTATGTGTACAGATTTTCGTTTTGGGATTTTTTTTTTTTTTGCCTAAATAAATGTTATAAATTTTATGTAAAGTGTGTCTCGTCTACTTTTATTCTAGACATTTGGCTTTAAAAGTTAATATTAATGCAAACTTCAAATTCCTTAGTGATCCACTTGTAATGACTGCTTTCTGAAAAAGGCTACTTTTACTGGAGAAGTTTTTATTTTTATTTTATTTTTTGAGACAGGGTCTTACTCTGTCACTCAGGCTGGAGTGTAATGGCATGATCATGATGCATGCCACCACACTCGGCTAATTTTTTAATTTTTTGTAGAGATGGGGGTCTCCCTATGTTGCTTAGGCTGGTCTTGAACTCTTGTCCTCAAACTATCCTCTTGCTTCAATCTCCTAAAGTGCTGAAATTAAGGTGTGAGCCACCACGCCCCGCCTGCAGACGTTTTTAATACTGGAACATCATCCATTTCCTTTTTTGTTTTTTTTTCCCCACTCAGCGATAGCCTTGAACATTAATTTCCTTAAATATCTATGCTAAGTACTATTTAAGTGTTGTAACTTATGTAACTTATAAATACTTCGGGGAACTTAAATTTACTGGAGAAGGAATAATTATTAAATAAACATAAATATTGCATAACAGTATATTACAGACTAGTCCTCAGTACCTGTAGAGAGAGACCACACCTAATCCAGACTGGACACCCATTAGACAGTCCCAGAAGACTTTCTGGAGAAAAGAGTTGACATTCACACAAAGATTGAGATAATTAACTGGCATAACAGATATTGTTTAAGTGCACTTAGTGAGGGGGGATCCTAAAAACTGAAGCATTATATTCTTATATTAATATAAAGACTCCGTGGCTGGGAAGAATCCTTAGTGATTTTAGTTTCAGAACCTTCATTTTACAGTTAAAGAAAATAGGTGTGGCTGGGCATGATGGCTCACACCTGTAATCCCAGCACTTTGAGAGGCCGAGGTGGGAGGATTGCTTGAGCCCAAGAGTTTGAGAACAGCCTGGGCAACAAAGACCTCATCTCTACAAAAAATAAATTAGGTCTACAGAGTATTCGGGAGGCTGAGGTAGGAGGATTGTTTGAGCCTGGGAGGTCAGGTACTCCAGCCTGGGTGACAGAAATAAACCCTGTCTCAAAAAAAAAAAAAAAAAAAGGTAAAATGAGTTGGTTGAAGTCACATAGCAAGTCAGTGACAGACTGCACTACAATGCTTTTTTTTTTTTTTTGAGCTGGAGTCTCACTCTGTCACCCAGGCTGCAGTGCAGTGGCACAATCTCGGCTCACTGCAACCTCCACCTCCCAAGGTTCAGGCGATTCTGCCTCAGCCTCCCTAGTAGCTGAGATTACAGGCATGCACCACAATGCCCGGCTAACTTTTGTATATTTAGTAGAGACAGGGCTTCACCATGTTGGCCAGGCTGGTCTTGGACTCCTGACCTTGAGGTGATCTACCCGCCTTGGCCTCCCAAAGTGCTGAGATTACAGGCATGAGCCACTGCACCCAACCTAGCGTAACTTTCACAGAGAATTTAAAGTCTGTTGTGTAACGATAACCTTTAAAGTAGCATTTGCTGTAGAGCCTATTATGAGGGAGACATTTCTAATTATTGCCTTTTCTATTCTAAACCATGGAAAAAGGACCTAACAAATGATGTCCTTGTAGAACAGTGAAGGCCTCCTGGCAGTGTTCTCTTTAATCCATGATGTGGGTTAAGAGGAGTTTTGACTGATTGTGAGGCAACATATGTACCACTAAAGTTTGTCACCTACATTGGGCCTTCATCTCTTATCTATTAAAGTATAAGGTTATTCATGTAAAAGGCCGCCTGTAAAATCCTTCACAAATAAAAGTATACCCTATAAGTGCACATAACAGACCCTCTTTTCATTTCTATTGTTCATAGAAGCATAAGCAAGGAAAAAATATTCAAAGATAAGAGAGTCTCATGATAGTAGAGGTCTTCATCTGTGATCTTGGGAAAAGCTGTTCATATCAAGGATGCCATCGTCTTCTGGGGAGAAACGTTTCTAGTCAGTTTTACCTTAAGGGTTCCAGTGGGTGTGCTGTTCCAGGAGTGTGGAAGGACCCTTTTCAGTTGTGAGATTATGAACCCAAGGTTCAAGGCTTCAGAGTTTTGCTGTAGTATGGACGGCAAGGACAGTCTTTCTATGATGTTCTCAGAAGATCCAATCTTCTAGGCCAGGCGCAATGGTTCATGCCTGTAATCCCATCACTTTGGGAGGCCGAGGTGGGTGGATCACCTGAGGTCGGAAGTTCAAGACCAGCCTGACCACCATGGAGAAATCCTGTCTCTACTAAAAATACAAGATCAGCTAGGCATGGTGGCGCATGCCTGCAATCGCAGCTACTCAGGAGGCTGAGGCAGGAGAATTGCTTGAACCCGGGAGGCAGAGGTTGCGGTGACCTGAGATTGCGCCATTGCACTCCAGCCTGGGCAACAAGAGTGAAACTCCGTCTCAAAAAAAAAAAAAAAAATATCCAATCTTCTGTAATCCCAGCACTTTGGGAGGCCGAAGCAGGTGGATCACCTGAAGTCAGGAGTTTGAGACCAGCCTGGCCAACATGGTGAAACCCCATCTCTACTAAAACTACAAAAATTAGCTGGGCATGGTGGCTCACACCTGTAATCCCAGCTAATCAGGAGGCTGAGGCAGGAGAATCGCTTGAACCCGGGAGGCAAGGTTGCAATGAGCCGAGATTGTGCCATTGCACTCCAGCCTGGGCGACAAGAGTGAAACTCCATCTCAAAAAATAAATAAAATATATAAAAGAATATCTAATCTCCAGGTTCTAGATTGTGAAGGGATTGTCCTTGGTGACCTATAAAAAGCTTGCTTTACCTGGTGAAAATGCACTGTAGCATAATCTACTATTATAATATTAGCCCTCATGCATGTGAAAGCTTTTATACAGCCAGAAAACATGCATTGAAAATGACAATAGAGGCTGGGCGAGTGGCTCACGCCTGTAATCCCAACACTTTGGGAGGCCGAGGCGGGTGGGTCATGAGGTCAGGAGATCAAGACCATCCTGGCTAACACGGTGAAACCTCCTCTCTACTAAAAACACAAAAATAGTTGGGCGTGGTGGCGGACACCTGTAGTCCCAGCTACTCGGGAGGCTGAGGCAGGAGAATGGCGTGAACTTGGGAGGCAGAGCTTGCAGTGAGCCGAGATCACGCCGCTGCACTCCAGCTTGGGCGACAGAGCAAGACTCCGTCTCAAAAAAAAAAAAAGAAAAGAAAATGACAATACAACGAAATCCCTTTAGAAATGTTTAAATGGCCCATCAGGTAGACAAATACACTTGAAGCTTTGATTGTCTTCCCAGGAATATGGAAGCAAACATTGGTTTTAAACTGTTTCCACAATTTGTAAGTCACCGCATCAATATAATTTGGATTATTTTATCTTTTCCATGACGAATCATGGAATGCAGAAGCTTTAATAACAAAAGCTTAAGGACTCAGGAAAGACAAGGTGGCTGTCCTGGTTCTTCATGAGTCCATGCTTAACACTGGACTTAGGTCCTCTTGAATACCAGTTGTTTCTCCAATATAGGTACATGGCACTGGTAACTAATGGGTTATCACAGGTAATTTGACTTAAACCATGGAGCTCATTCAAATTGTACATTTAAACAATTTCAGTATTGGCTGATTTAGCATGATAATCTAGAGCTTGATTTTGAAAAGTTTGTTAAATAAACATCAAAGCTTTAAAACATTGGATGTTACAAAATAGAATCTTAAGTTACCGTAAGTCATTCATTTAGCCAAAATGATAACTTGAAATTTTCTTTCTTTCTTTTTTTTTTTTTGAGATGGAATTTCATTCTTGTTGCCCAGGGCTGGAGTGCAATGTCACGATCTTGGCTCACTGCAACCTCTGCCTCCTGGGTTCAAGAGATTCTCCTGCCTCAGCCTCCCAAGTAGCTGGGATTACAGGTGTGCGCCACCACACCTGCTAATTTTTATATTTTTAGTAGAGAGATGGGGTTTCACCATGTTGGCCAGGCTGATCTGCGAACTGCCTGACATCAGGTGATCCGCCTACCTCAGCCTGCCAAAGTGCTGGGATTACAGGTGTGAGCCACAGTGCCAGGCCAACTTTGAAAATTTTTAAAAGGAAAAAGCATTATTGCAATAGCAAGGAGATTCAGTTTTCCAAACAAACCCAGTGAAGATAGCATGAGGCCAACTGGACTGTCCTCCTTTCCTTCCTTCCCCCTTTTTCTTCTGCAGTTTACTTAATGAAACAAAAATGCCAGGCGTTGGGAAGAATAGGGCCAGGAAAGGGGTCTCTGGTGCCTCCTGTTTTTCCCAAGGAGTCCAGGCTGTTAGAACTTGAATATCCACTTTTAAATTAACTTTTAACCATAGCACTCTTAATAAATATTCTTTTGTGGTTTTTTTTTTTTTTTTTTGAGACGGAGTCTCACGCTGTCGCCCAGGCTGGAAGTGCCAGTGGACGATCTCAG